CTATCTATCCATCTATCTATCTATCTATCTATCTATCTATCTATCTATCTATCTATCTATCTATCTATCTATCTATCTATCTATCTATCTATCTCCACAATCTTCTTGTTTTGGGCCCGCCTCTCGTCCAATCAGCTCGCCCCGGGGCCAAGCTAGTCAAGCGACCTGGTCCGTGGTCACCAACACCCCGCCCTCCCCCCTTCCTGCTGATCAGGCCAAGGTCAAACATCGGAAAGCGAGGTGAGACGCTCCGGGGCGTGGCGACAAGACTGATTCCAGAGTGCCACCGTCAGCTTGATAAATGATTGTAGAGGATTGCGTGCGGGTCTTTGTTTGGGTTTGTTGTTGTTCCCGATTGGGATGAGCAGCATGAGCAGAGAAATTGTATCTTCCTGCTTAAACAGTTATATGCAAGACACTCCACAATTATTTGCCTCGTTCCTAGAAATATACATTTTATTTGGAATTTGTTGTGCGCAGACCAGCAGACCACCGTTTTCTTTAGGAGGCATGTCCCTGATAACACTTGACTGTCGGTGAGACCAGTCGGCCGGTGGTGGTGAGCGCGGTGCTCGGCGCGGTGCGCGTCCCCCCCACCTGCACACAAACACAAAGTCGGCCGCACGCGAAGAGCCTGCCCGAGTCAGGCACTAGACTAATGTGGCCCTCAAGGACGCGGGGACGGGACGGTGGTGTTGGCACTACTGGCAGCGCCCCGCGGCCCGCGGAGCCCCCTCCCGCCGTGTGCATGCTCGCGGAGGAGCGCGCGGCTCACCGGCCGCGCCCGCAGCTGCAGCACGGCCTTCTCGAAGTTCAAGGAGACTCTCTCGCGGCACGCGGCGCTCCCCTGACCAGTATGTGAGTGCGGCTTCCTTGGGCTACAAATCAGGAGAGAATACACACGGGCGACCGGCGCACGGGGGGGAAGCACGGCGGCGTTCCTCGAACTGTTGTACAGTAGCGGAGTCGTTGAAACCTGCTGAGCCGTGGCGCGGCGGGGCGGGGAGGCGGTGGCAGGCACGACGATGCACAGCCGCGGGACGCTCGGATGTTGCGTTGTCACAGCGACGCGCAGCAGGAGCTGCTGCAGCAGAGCGCCGTCTGCAGCGCTGCACATGCCCCACATTCCTCATGTCCAGTCCACCCCTGCCAGCCACCCCCGCACACCCCCCTCCGTATCGCCGTTGCTGGAGCCGCGTCACCCGGCGGCCGGCGCTGCAGCCGCAGCCTCGTGTCCTCTGCCTCGCGTTGGAATGCGCGGGGCGGGGCGGGGCGGGGCGGGGCGGTCTCCAACACGACCTGCATGCCCGCGGGAAGATCCGGCACCGACACGACGCACACGTAGGGCTGCGGCGCACAGGGCCAAGGGCTTTATCTAGGGTGCCGCTCTGTTTGTGTACGAGAAGGGCCCGCCGCGGTGCGGCCGTCAGCCCTGACCTGCTGGGGCCCGGCCGGGCCGCCGGCCGCCACCTCCAGCGCCCGCCGAGGACAAAGCTAAACAGCCCCAATAGGGAGGGGCGTAACGGATGACGGGTGGCCGGAGGGGAGGCGAGGGGAGGGGTCCGCGTTGTGCCTGGTGCCGCCTGGCTCGGCGGCTGCGTCCGCTGAAGTGGACCGCATCATTCGTCCTCGTCCCGACGTAGGGGAAAGGGCAGAGAGAGAGAGAAAGGGAATGAGAGAGAGAGAAAGAGAGAGAGGGACGGGGCAGGAGAGGACATCGGAACTGCACTGTTGTTGCCGCGGGCCAGACGGGAAGGGGAGGGGGGCGTGGGCGTAAACGTGGAGCGTGTTGAGGGGAGAGGGGAGAGGGGAGAGGGGAGGAGGGGGTCTAGGACCGTCCGGATCGTCCGGATGGACGCGTTGACTGGACAGAGGGCCGCGCGGGGCGGGGCAGGACGCGGCACCAGAGTGACCGCCCGCGGCCCTGCCGCCGGCCCGGGCTGGACACACCAGCGGAGTGCGTCGCCACGAGCAGAGATGCCGCCCAGGCCGTCCCTCATCCACCAAGGCGCCGAGGGGTGAGTAGAGCGAGGAGAGACAAAACTGCACGTCTCCGTTTTGGAGCAGGGAGATTACTTTTGTCAAGGAGTTCCTTTGCCTGGAACATGCCGTCAGTCTCGAGACTGCGGTGCCCCTGCACGTGTGCTCTCATTCCCCATATTTTTGTTTGCTCTCGAAAGGCAAATAACAATGAGTGTGTATCATATCATTGCAGTAGGATTGTGTAGACAGTTGGGGCCGAGAGAACGGGGAAGAGAGGGAATTCCCACCTGATTTGTCGCCTGAACTGTAGGCTATTTTGTGTGATTTTTTTGCCTTGAAAGGGATAATGTCTGCATCCCTAGTTGGAGTCCGTGTTTCGCATTTCGTGTCGATGAGCGCACCCAAGATGGCGTTTGAGTCCAACTCGCCCCGCCCCGTTCAGTCGAGGCCTGCCCCCGGATGGGCTCTGCAGGCGGTCAGGCGAGCAGGAAACCCCGTGCAGAGTCTCGGACTCTAACCCCGGTGCGGCCTCCCTGACGGTGCCCTGCCGCGCCGGCGAGGAGGCGTCCTCCTCTGCTCATCGCAGCTCTTTACGTAACGACCCGAAGCGCTCGCGGACCAGCCAACACACAGTTTAGCAAAGCAAAGAGTACAGTCATCGACAGTCGCGAGTGACCTCCGCGCCGCCCGCCGCGCCCGCCCCGCCGGCATCCAGGTGGCCCGGCACGGCTCTGCGCAGTTAGGCCCCACGGGCTCCGCGGTGCCACAGGTCAGCCGGGCTGGCAGCGAGAGAGGCATTAGCTGCCTGCGCTCTGGTCTGCGCCGCTTGCTCTTTAACATCCTTCAATTGGGAGAAATATAGAAGTGTTTGGGCGCTCGCTTTGTCACATCTATACCAGGGTTTGCTGTGAGCCTCTCAACACGAGACACATAAACAAGAACAACAAACTGGATTACAGTAGTTTAAACTTCCTTTGCAGATTCGAAAAATATAAAACCAGAAAATATACAATATATAGGAAGAGTAGAGAGGGGAACTTCTCATTCGTGTAGAGATAGTCTTTAGGGGACTGTCTAAAAATTGCTCTGTTTCGAGTCCAGGGTATTGAATTCTAAGACACCTGCACGCCTGCGGGGAAACCCTTTCTGACGTCAGACCTCGTGTCCGCAGGTTCGACATGGACCATCAGGACCACCAGCCCCCCGCCGCCGAGGCGGGGCTGGCCGGCCCGTGGGGCAGGGCCTCCAGGGCGTGGGGTAGCGCCGAGTCGCTGCCCGGCGCGGCGATACTCCCCGGCGCCGCGGGCCCGGGTCACCCGGGCGGGGCCGGCGAGAAGGACGACGTCGTCGGCGGCGGCGGCAGCAACATCAGCGGCAGCAGGTCCGCGGGGACCGGCACCATGGCGCTCCTGCGGTCGGCCTGGGACGGACACGTGCGCCAGGGCTCGCTGCGGCAGCCGCTCGCGCCGGCCGCGCTCCGCAGGTCCTTCTCGCGCTTCCGCGAGGCCAAGCCAGGTAAGGACCCTTAGGACCCCACCGCCCCGCGCAGCTCAGCGAGAGCTGCCGCTCCGCTCCGCTCCGCTCGTCGGGTCCATTTTCGATGAGGAAATAGGCAGACGCCGCCGCCGCTGCCTCCTCGAGCCCGACCGGCGGTGACCGGTCCGCCCCGCACCGGAAGGGCAGCGCCGAGCTTGCCGAGCTGCACGCCAAGGAGGAGGAGCGGACTCTGCAATTAAATGGTGTTTCGCCGGGGGAAGTGTAACGCCCGCGGTGCGTCCAGCGCGTCTCGTGCCGGAGATGTTCGTGACAACGGGGGGCGCTCTTACGTCCGCGACCGACGGGAGCATCGAGCACACTATGTGTCGCTTACATGCCCACTCGGGGGCCTACAGTTTAGGCAGCTTTCACGATCCTTCCTGTCTTGGTCAGTCAACAAGCAACCTAGGAAATTTTAATCCTCACTCCGCGTCGCCAGACCCCCAATAGGCGATGTCGACGCCCCCGCCGCCGCCGTGGACTTCCCCCGCTGAGTCAGCCACCTGCCGTTGAAACTGAACGGTGACGCCGCGCGCTGTATCATCTGTTCCGGTGCAGTCGGGCCCCACCCCCGCCCCCGCCGCGCCCAGCGACGCCCAACAACGTTGATTGCACTTCTTATAAATCGTGATAAACAAGTCGAGTTCACCGCCTCGGCAAAACAACCGTGACGTGACGTTTCCCATCGCGTTCACACGCCGAAAACGGCATTCGTGGCGCATTGTCGCGGTGGGCAGGCACGGTTCCGCCCGTGAAGAGTTTTGTTCTCCTCTTGAGAAAAATGGAGGGGGGAAGGGGTGAGGAGGTTGGGGTTGGGAGCAGCATTCAGGGACAGAGCAGCTGACCTGCAGTGAATGACCGGGACCCTCGCAAAATTCTAGCACATTGAGAGAAAAGCGCGAATGGCTGAAGGTTTTTTTTCGAATTCATTTGCTTTGAGAATTCCCCAGATGTTAGGTAGCCTTGGGCTCACAGCAATGTCTCTGGGGACACAAATGACGATGTGAGTCAGTCACAGTAACCCCCCCCC